ATCTATGCCTAAAATTTCATTCGGAAATGTAGCGCGAATGCTATTTAAGTACCCGGCCGGGCTGTAATTAATATCATTTATTAACTGACATTGATTGCAGGACCTGACATACGCCGTTACTATTTTGTATAATTGCGGGAAATATACCGCCTCGCGTACCCTTTTTATAGTCTTTCTGACCCCGAGGTGGCCCGCTGTTTTTTTCGTGCAACTCCTTCAAAATGCTTAATCGAAGCGAGGCTGGGATGACTGGCTTATACTCAAGATTTTCGTTTGTTGTTTTCGTATAGAATAATAAATTATCTATTATTTCATAGTTTTTTGCTCTATTTCTTATCGCATCGATATCTGTATGCTCAAAGCTTTCGGGGTCTTTCAAATAAGCATAGATATTTCCAAATTCAGGATCAGCTTTCAGTTCAGTAATAACCGTATCTCTAGAATCTAAAATTTTTGAAGTCAACACAGCGCATTTAAGTTCATTTCCTTCATCGTCCAGTTTTATACGAGAAAGTGCGTCAGCTACATTGTTTTCCTTACCCGGTTTATATTTTATTGTGATATTATATTCTTGGAGTTTTAAAGCCCATCTTATTAACCTGGGCGTTAGGTTTTTTCCCGAGTAAAGTCTACCAACAGCCGCATGATCCGAAAAGACTGTTACTGGCGATTTGCCGAAATAAACTCGAAATTTGTGTACAGCCATTAATACGGCTAATGTTTCTCTTTCTGTAGCTGTATAATTCCTTTGTGTCTGATTCAATGTTTTACTAAAAAAATGCCAGCGGATGGTTATTTTGCATAAGAACCGCACCCACCGCATAGTCTGACGCATCTGCCGCAATTTCCAGGTTTTCGTCCCCCTCAGGGAATTTTAAAACAGGGGCATTAATAAGCGCTTCTTTTAATCTTTCAAAAGCTGTGTTAGCTTCCGCTGTCCACGTAAATTTACTCTTTTTTCTTTTGATTACTAAGAGTGGTTCAACAATATTAGCGAAATCTTTTATGAAAGATCGATAGTAAGAACATAATCCAAGGAAAGACGAAAGTTTCTTGGCGGTGTTGGGCGGTGGGAAATTCTTAATAGCTTTTATTTTTGAATCTTGCGTTTCTATACCCTTTTGCGAAATTTTTATAACCGAGATATTTAAGTTCTTTAGTTGCGAACTTGCATTTTGAGGCGTTAATTGTAAGACCGGCCTCTTTTAATAATTTAAAAACTTGTTCGAGGTCATTAATGTGTTGTTCCAACGTACTACTCGTTATAATTATATCATCTAGATAAATTAAAGTTGATTTTCCTAGGACAGGCTTTAGAACAATGTCCATAGCTCTCTGGAATGTTGATGGGGCCCCACACAACCCAAAGGGCATGCGTAAAAATGCATAAGTGCCCGATTTTGTTATAAACGCGGTTTTATGTATATCTTCGGGTCTCATAGCTATTTGATAGTAGCCAGACGTTAAGTCCAAAGTAGACATATATCTTGTCGATTTGATCTGTCTAATGATCTCGTCTATAACCGGCAAAGGGTAAACTGGAAATTTGGTAATACTATTTAGTTTTCTATAATCGATAGCAAACCTCCAAGCCCTTTTATCTGAAGGAGGAAACTCGTTCTTTTTCCTACATAGTACGACTGGACTCGCGTACTCACTATTTATGGGCGTTATTATTTTATTCTTTAACATCTCCTGAATATGTTCTTCGATGATTAAGTCTTTTTGTTTATCATAGCGATACGGTTTAGTCCTACAAGGTTTTTCGGCATTTAATTGAATCTTGTGAGTCACGATTTGACAGTTTCCTGGTTTTTCTGAAAACAAATGAGAAAAATTACTCACCACTTGCTGTATTGCTTTACTTTCCTGGTCATTCAAATGGCTAAGGTCCAATTCAGGTGTCTCCACAGGTTCCACCACCCTCTGGTCCATCTCCAGCACCACGGAACTATCTTGAAAATTCAATTTGGCCCTCGCGGCCCTTAAAAAGTCCATACCTAAAATAAGAGAGTGTTGCAGGTGTTTCACCACAAAAATTAATACTTTGAGATTTTCCTCTTTTACCTGTACGTTTAATGATACTTTCCCGATGCAGTGACATGTTTTTCCTTGCGCCGCTATAATTTCCGTATTTCTGGTTTTAAAGAGTCGTATCCTATAAAAATTCTTTTTGAAGAACTTTTCACTCATGAAATTTCCTTCTGCTCCTGTATCGATGAGGGCTTCTACTGGTACATCGCCGCCAACCAGGACTTGTATAATTGGTAGCTGTGAGTTTTTTACGATGACTGTATTTAAATGTCTATTTGAGGGTTTTTTTAAAACTTCCGGGGTCTGGACCCTCCCTTTCACAGGCCCCTCTAGTCGTTTAAAGCTTTCCTTTCAATCTGTGTCTTCTGGGTACGCGGATGCTTATTTTCAAATTTTCTTTTTGGGCCTTGACCTTCGAGTTTCGATGCGTTAACTTGATAATTCTTTCCCCCATATGAGCGATTTCCATTTCTGGTTTCCTCCTTCCTTCGGGTATGTTGAGAATATGTTTCCCCTCTCGCTTTTTCCGCTATTCTGCGATTTTGAAACTTCACCGCCAATTCGAAAAGTTCCTGCAATGTGTTTGGGTTTCTAAGTAGTCTTGGACAGCGGGTAACAATCTTGGTAATATTATTTCAATAATCTCCGCATCGGGTTTTTTCCCATACAGCATATCCGTTAGCTTGATTTTTCGTAAAATAAAGTCCGTCAAATCTGCTGTATCCCGTTGATAGAAACTATATAGCTCGGCTTCCAGCCGTGCGCGATCTTTCACTATGGGGAAGGCCTTTACTAAGGATTTTTTGAAATTTTCAAATGTATACGTCGGGCTTCCAAATTCACCTAGAAGAAATTTGCCTATATTTTTCCACCATAGCGCGGCCTGTCCTCTTAGTGCTGATGTGCGATGGCAACTTTTTGTCTTTCAGGCACAGTAGAGCTGAAAGTGGTTTTCTTATACCTTCTAAAAATACGGACACCGAATTTTTTCCGTCGAAATAGACGTTTGGCTTGATTGATGCTCTCAAAGTCTGGACCAGGTATCCAAATCCTTCTAACTGCGTTGTCATTTCTTGGTGTTGTCCAGCGGCTTCCATCCAGTTTTCGGCCATTTCAGTTCGATAAGTGTTCGGGCGCCAATATAACGTTGCGCGCCTCCAACTTGCACGCAACCAAGAGGTGACTGTGAAAACTTGTATAAAAGATAAGCCTTGTGAAGGTTTAAGTCCCTTTTTATTCAACGTAATAAATTACAATTGCGTCCTCTTGACGCTTACAGACTGTGCCTACTTGGCAGTCAAATAAAAATAATAACCTGAAAAGAAAGTAAAGACAAGATTCTAACTATGAGGCTCTCTAAAATAACTAACTCACCGTGTTTTACAATACCGCTGCTAATTCAGCAGACTTGAAGCTCACTGGAACAATTTCCACTACTTCCCGCCAAGCACATAGGCCGCAACGCGGGGTTCTTCAATTCTCGCTAACTACCTCCACGCTCGTGAAGCAAGAAAGCACACTTTCGAACTCGTTTCCCTTCTATTTAACTCAGAATACTTCCGCTGACTATTTTGAATACTTTTGCGCGTTCTACTAAAATTTACATACTCTGGCATTGGCAATTCCAGAGAAAAGTAAGGCTTGACAGGAAAGATAGTTTAAACTTAAAATAAATGTTAGTTAAAATAAATATAAACCCTACAAGTGTATGTTTTGTGTTACTGCGAGTCTTCTATTATTTAACCAAACGTTGTATCCATTTATTTGCCTCATCATTCGTGGTGCCCGAAATAAAACAGTGGATGATAATTCGCCGCCAAACTAATATTGCTTCACTGCGTGCCCCCTTTAGGTGTTTGAGTAAGGAGAAATATAAAAAATTAAGCGTTATTATCCTTTCCCGTCTCTTGTTGTAATAATAAGCACACTGATGCTGTGATTCGAAGTGCCCAAGCCTGACTATAGGCTAAGACATGGGAAATTTTTCTATGAGTTCTCATCCATAAATGTTTTAGTTTTAGTCTATGTTAGTTTTGGAGAGGTATTCATTTTAAAACTTCTTTTTTAAAAACAGGTGTAGTCGAGATAATTTACTTGGTTAAAGACTCGTTTGATGTATTAACTATTTCTGAAATACTTATTAGCATCGTTAATTGCTACATGTTTCTGGTATCTTTCGGAGAATGTCTAATAGGCAAATTGGCTGTTAGGAAAATAAGTCCATTTGAATTTAAGTTTTCGCGTCTCTTATTTCTTCGTTCTGTTTTGTAAATATGTGTTAGAGAAAAATTATGGAGTCTCTACTTTTCTTTTCCTTTCAGACTAAAACAAGAGCCGAAATAACTTAAATTAACTGCATATTTAACTGACTGGAAATTTAAACGACAGTTATGCAAATATCTGTAAATTTTGTACATTTCAATAGATTCTGATTACGAATCTATAACATAACATGGAAGGTAAAGTGCGTCATCGGTATAGGGCGTCGCAGGGATGAGATAATGTTAGGGAAGAATGACTGAGAGGTAGCGATGGTACACGCTCAAGGAGGAGCTAACAAATACTCGCCAACTAGGTCAAGGATGTGCTAAGGCGCAATCGAAGAAGGCAACCAAAAACGCCAGTATGCTCAGTCATATTCTGTGTTTGTTCCTTTTGAATTGAGAATAAATTTTTCAGTGATTTTGTTATTTTTTAATTATAATATTTTTTTATTTTACTTTTAAAAATTAAAACCTCTTAAACGCATTATTTTTAATTAAAATGCTCGCCCCCCCCGTGGTAGACCGGTGCCTCAGCTAGTTTACTTACATATATTAAGCTAAAATTCAACTGTGTGTCTAACAGAACGCTAAAGACAGCTAAACACTTGACTTTAAGATATGTCCTTCTCATGCATGCTATTTTAAAATTCAAGTTATTGTTTTAAATTTTATTTACATACACGTTATTTTTTAAATGCTTAGATAACCAGCAAAATATCAAATAAGGTACTTGAAACAGAATTCGAAATCATTGGAACAAGATCCGAGCTCAACTCATCACTAACTCTACCAGAAAATCAGTTTGGAATGATGGTAAGTGTTGAATTTTCATTCAAGAACATTACTTTAGGACTATTTGAACTAAATTTCAAGCGTATTAAAAATTTTAATTTTTTCTAAAGGTACTCCAGAACCATCCCGCTACGATTTCGAGCGATCACCTCTTAGTGCAGAAAAGTGGTGTGCCCTCCAAAGATATTGTTTATATGATAACTAAAAAGTTACTAAAAGAGGAAGGATTCCTTGAAAATTTAGACAAACCAGGAATTAGACTGCAGTCTTTCACTCAGAAGGACATCGATGAAATGAAGATAGTCTATCATTCGCCGCCATATGTAGAACCAAACGAAAAGCAATTTACTTTTCAATTTATTGGTTAGTTACTTTCATTATTTTTATATATTCGTATTCCATAAAAATTGTGAATCTTTTCTTTATCGTTTACAAAGTTAAATTACTTCCAGGCTTATTTAACAAAAACAGTAAATAATCATTATATAGTTATCAATTTCACTGTCCGATACCTTGCAAAAAACATTTAAGCCAATAAAACATGCGGGAATCTGCAGTGTCATCATTATGTAACAGATAATCCACATGGGAATAGAAACACATTATAGATCGGAAATTACACTGCATATTCCTAGGTCGCGAAATCAAAGATGCCTAAACTATAAGATGTTGGAGTTTGAAACTTAGTTGGTGATCCAATTTATCGTGTGGTCGGTATCCAATTCTTCGAAATTTTAAACTCCTTGTGTTAATAGTAAATAATTAGTAACTAGCTTAAGAGGTTTTTTTTATATGTTAGCGCGATTTTATCCCGAAATTTTAACACGACAGTGCAATATGTTTTTTTAATAACTATTTAATTGAACGCTAAAATAATCTGATTTAAACTGAAATGGCATATAATTTTAGAGGAAGTTTTTGCCAAATTTCGGCTTACAAATGCCCATATTCAGTGCAAGTTTACGTTACTCAAAATTTGATGGTTCCAAGTACAGATGTTTTATCACAATGCGAGAAACATACATACACTTATGCAGATTTTTCATTATTCACACTTATGTCCATAAATTAAGGATAATTCAGAGTCACGCGGAAATCGAACTCTAAAATAAATATATCACCTGTAAAATTACTCTACACACATCTTCAAGAATCATATGCAAATTTCAAGAAGCAACCAGGTGACACCGATGCTACGTCACAATGACGAGAGTGTAAGAGAGTGATATATAAGGAATACAGGCAAAGAAGTAAAATTGTTCGCAGGCGCTTTATAAGCATTTCAGTGCAATAACCGAATGGTTATGACACAAACGACGCATTTGGATGATTTTTTACGTGGTAGAATTATCGCCCGTCTGGAATGTGGGCGTACCCAACTGGAAGTATCAGACGAACTTGGAATTGCCTAGAGTGTCATTTCCAGGCTTTGGTAACGATTCCAAGATGATGGTAATGTGAGTAGACGTTACAGCACAGGTCGCCCCAGAGTTACAACGCCGAATGAGAACCGGTATTTGGCAGTTACTGCCTAAAGAAACAGGCGGAGCACAGCCTCAGACCTGTCTCGTCAGCTCTCTTTAGCCACTGGTACGACAATTTCAAGGCAGACCGTGTACAGACGCTTAGGGCAGATTGGTCTATATGCTCGTAGACCTGTCAGATGCGTTCCACTTACTGCAACTCACTGTCGCCTGCGGTTAGCCTGGAGTAGAGAGCATGCATTGTGGACACCACAACAGTGGGCTTGTGTGATGTTTTCCGACAAGTCCAGGTTTAGCTTGCAGTCTGATTCTCGCCGGACTTTCATATAGAGAGCTCTAGCTACCCGTTACCACCAAGAAAACATCATTGAACGACACCGTTACGGTGCAGGAGTGCTCGTTTGGGGTGGAATTATTCTGGGTTCCTGAACTGACCTGCATTTTCAAATTAGAAGCATGACAAGCCAAATCTATCGGGACGTCATTCTGGAACATGTACGTTTGTTTCGGGGCGCCATGGGCGCACAATTTGTGTTTATGAATGACAACGCCCGTCCTCACCGTGCAAACATCGTAAGCGAATGACTTCAATCGGAGGATATCACCCGTATGGACTGGGCAGCATTCTCACCGGACTTGAATCCAGTAGAGCACGTGTGGGACGCTTGGCCATGCTTGGCCGACGAGTTGCAGCCCGTCAACCTCCTCCTACATGTCTACCGAAACTTCGGAAAGCATTGCTTTTTGATTGGTGTAATGTCCCCCAAGATCAGATCGATAATTTGATACTCAGCATGCCTAGGCGTTGTACGGACTGTATTGCATCGTCTGGGAGACATACAATGTATTAATAATCATAACAACCATGTAATATTGGTTTTTTGTAAATAGGTTTTTTTTAGAAAAAATCACTAATTTTTTCTAATAATATTAAACATATAGCATCTTTTTTTTTTTTTTTTTTGCTCTTTACCATTTGTTTAATAAATAAGCTTTACAAATAAGTCAAATTTGTTTTGCTTCTAACTCTTCCTTTGCCTATTTTTGCATTATCCTTAATTTAGTGTAATTTCTTTAAATATTATACGTTGCGATAACATTTGGTGGTAACAATTTCAAAAGTGTTTCGCTGTTTATTGTAAATCGACGCAAAATGCCAAAACGATATTTATAACCCTTCTGAGTTACCCTTTGCGCTAATAAATAATATTAAATATGGATTAAACGAAGGAGGAAAGATTTTTTTATTGTTTTATTTTACAAAATAACTCAAACTTTTCTTAACAATGAGCAGTAAAATTAGCAAAATAAACCAACTCATGAAATTAATCAAAAACTTCATTGTACGCGATGTTTTGGGTAGAAACATTGTTAAATATTGTTAAACATTGGTAAACATTAACAAACATTAATCAGCTGAGTGAGTCATACCACAAGCATTGTTAAATATTGTTAGACATTGGTAAACATTAATAAACATTAATCAGCTGAGTGAGTCTTACCACAAGCATGTTTTCCTCTTCGTTTTTTCTAATATAAGTTTGCTATATTGATTAATTGTGATTTTCTAATTAATCATTTTAATTTGGAGAATCATTATAAAATTGTTTCCACTTTCAATCTCTGAATCCTATATATGAGTATAATGATATTTTAAACAACATAAGAAATTATAAATGCTGCAATTTTTGAAATTTTATATATAAATAATAATTAGCCATCGAAACAGCAAATATTATATGCTATACAAGTAATAATCATCATCTCAGTACACAAAACAATAATGAGATATATTTGACATGATTCACGTAATGTCTCACGTCTGAGCTTTAGTCACTAGTTTCTAAAAATTAAGGAAACGTCACAAAAATAGCGATAACTCGTTCAAAAATAAGCCAAACCCTATAAAATTTTAATATGTTGTCAAATAAGATTTGCTGAATAAAACTGAAGAATAAAATGACGTCTTCTATAGACATGACAAACATTTATTTAAACTACGAAGACGTTGAACAGCAGAGTAGAAACATGATATTACACAGCGCTTTGCACTTCTCTCTTACATGCAATACTCACCATTGACTTTGGCTAACTAACTATTAACTAAGTATAAGTATTACGCAGCAGAAAACTTGCTTATCATGCGCATGCGCTAGGGAAATCGACGGCGGTTGCCAACATACCCCCTTTCGACGTTGATTCTCCCATTCCTGAAAAGTAAAACAAAATACATATTAAACAGTATTCAATCCTATAATTGTACAACAGTTTTGATGTTTAACGGGAGTCAGGGGTTTGGTTAACACATCAGCTCCCATTTCACTGGTAGGTATGTACTTCACATCTAATTCACCGCGTGCATACACTTCACGCACAAAATGATGGCGAATGTCTATGTGCTTTGTACGGGAGTGAAACACAGTTCTTCGTAATTTTCTGAGCTACCTTGATTGTCGCAGTATATTGTTGTTGGGTGTTTCTATGTTGTAACCCAGCTCCTTTCAAAAAACGAACGTAGGGAGACGGTTTCTTTGGCGGCCTCAGACAGAGCCATATATTCCGCCTCCATTGAAGATAGAGCTACACTGCGTTGTTTTCGTGATTCCCAGGTTATGGCTGAACCACTTAATATATATACAAAACCTGTTGTAGGATTTTCGATCATCGACATTTGATGCCCATTCTGCATCCACAAAGGCGATGAGTGGTTTTCCTGTTTTCGTATTAAATTAGTCCTTGATCTTGGGTTCCCTTTAGATATCGAAGCATTCTTTTCGCAGCATGCCAATGCTTCTTTTCCAGGGATTGTTGTGAAATTGACTTAAGAAATTCATGGCGTATGTGATATCTGGCCTAGCAGCTACTGAAAGGTACATTAGTGATCCGATCAGATTTCTAAATGGAACATTTTTCATGTCAGCGATTTCGTTTTCGTTTTGAGGACTCATCTCTTTTGATAATTTTTGCTGCTTATTATAGGTGAAGACACCGTTTTAGCATTTTGCATATTATACCGAATTAAAATATCATCAATGTATTTCTTTTGAGAAATTTTAATTGAATTCTCATTTGGTGAAATTCTATGCCTAAGCAAGCAATAATGTAACTTCCCCAAGTCTTTCATTTGAAAGCAGAGAAGCCAAACTATTGCGAATGTTTCATACGTTTGCTTAGAATCGGTAAAAACGATAAGATCGTCTACATAAACGATTATAATAGTTTCACTGTTAGGGCGTCTTTTTAATATAAACACAATTATCTGAATTAAGAGATTTAAATTTCATAGATTTCAATTTTTCATCCAACTTTTTGTACCACTGACGTCCTGACTGTTTAAGACCGTATAAATGATCTCTTTAAAAGACACACTTTATCTGAATTAATTTCATCGCGAAAAACCTTCGGGAATTTCCATATAGATTTCTTCATCTAAATTTCCATTTACATAGGCCATTACAAAGTCTAATTGGTAACCTTTGAGACTGTGTTCTACAGCATAGGCTAAAACTGTTCTTATGGAACAGTAATCTAGCAACAAGGGGTAAAGTTTTCAGTGAAATCGAGACCTGGGATTTGAGCGCACCCTTTAGCAACTAGCCTAGCCTTTGTATTTTTCGATAGTGCCGTCGTGATTATATTTAATTTAAGAACCCATTTACTACCAATAACTTTATTGTTTTCAGGTCCTTTTTACTAATTCCCAAGCCTTTTCTTGAACAAGCAAATTATATTCTGAACAGCATGGCATTATGCCAATTTTCAGCATATAGGTCCATTTAAATGCTTCTTGCACCGTAGGATTAATGCTTTCCTCAACAGCACATTTTGAGTTTTTTTCATTTTTATTTACAAACTGTATAGTGATATTCCTTTTTAGGT